CACTTGGACAAAGAAAAATTCAGTAACGCCAACGGAATTATTTTTTTCGTGTAGAAAAATCGCGCTATAATTCTTTCATTTTTGCAATCATAGTTAGAAATATGAAAAATTTATTCTTATTGAGGAGAAGTTGCTTCGCCTCACGTCTTGTAATCAATTCAAATCTAGGTTAGCTGGCGATCGTTACGTTTGCGTCGCCGTCAAGACAGCGGCAGCTTTTACCTTCCGCGCGCGCAATAATGTATTCGCCAGAGACAATTATTGCGATCTCTCTCTCTCTCTCTCCCGTCTCTACGAACGATATCGTAAATCCCATGAATCTCTAATTGTGCAGCCGAGTATTTAATGTTCGCCCACTCCGCGCGACTCGCTCGCTCGTCGGCAACGATTAAGAATCCCCGCATCGCCGGCGGCGAGCGTAATGGCGTCGTTAAGTGCGCTAATGTGATTACTGGCTGAAAGGCGGCGAACGAGTCTCCTAGACGGCGACAAAAAGCGCATCGATGCGATTTACGAGCAAGCGACGTGGTCGCGCAAAAGTGCGGGCTTGTATGGAAAAATGCAAGCCCTTCTCGCGCGCGTCATCTCTTTCATTCTCTCCTCCTTCTCCTCTTATATTATCTTCTAGCTTTTCTTTGTACGCATAGCGCGGGATGAGATGTTATCGACTGCCGGCGGTGCTATTACGAGCCGCAGGTGTAAACAAGTGTGCACTTGTTATTTTTTTTTGTAACACGCGAATCTTCAAGCTCGACAATACGTGCCCCGTAAACACATGCTCTGCTATATTTTATTGTCTCGATTTTTAGCACGCGGTTTGAAACATGTTTTCAGATACACGAGCCATTCGTGTGTTTACTTCATATCTCCGTTAGTTCTCCGCGGTCGTTTGACTTTTTAGCGTCACAAGAAGAGAAAAACGTAATGTCCTATAAAAGAAACCTTCTCCTTCCGCGTGGATAGAAAAAGGGGGGGGGGGAGAATTATGCAAACGCACGATTACGGCGATCCTCATTTAAATACTTTAACACATGCTTTATCTCGTAATTTTATTATTACTTTATCTCTCGCGCGCGCATTTTTTATAATTACATACCGACCGCATCGATCATTATACCACAAGGGAATACACGCGACAATAATTTCGCAACGCTGATGAAATGGACGCACACGCCACGTTTGGCGACTTTTATATTCGCTTGCTCTCTCCCTCCGCGTACGATTGTTTTCCATCTGTCGCAACAGGTAGTCCGGAATTTTTCATAATAAAATTGATTAGTTTCACAACGAGAGTTCGAACCGTTATATTACGCGGAATTATCAAAGCGTTTCGATTTTGCAATTTAGCATGGCGAATAACACACATTTGGCAAGCGATATTCTTACAACACGCACAATATTCTACTTGTTCACTCTACTCAATGCATCGTCCCACGAAATAACCACTAGTATATACAACTTTCTCTGTTTCAGCGATATAATATTTCTGCGCTCGTTGAAAAAGAAGAAAAGTCGAAGAATTTAAAACTTTTCCGCGCGAATATATTCCCACTTTGTTCTTCATGATCCCTATTTTATCAGAAAAGAAATCCCAATAAGACTATAGTCATTTTTAGTGTAAAATTGATCTTTTAACCCGAAAAACAGTAGTAACGTGCATATAAAATGATCATCACTGACACTATAGCAACATTTATTAGAAGAATGATATATAATTCTTGAATTTTGTTCTCAGTATAGAGACGGCAATGTCTGGAAGCAGCATCGGTGAAGATCGCATCAATGGGCCATTTTTTATTCGACAAAGATGTTTACGTAAATTCGCGGTACCTCTTGTCCAATTTACATTGAGTCTCTTTCGTCACCGAAGAAGCGTGCCATAAATCCATGGATTCTCGGGCATACACATCACCATCTGCTTAGCTCCGCTCCGCGGACGCTCGTTAATTTTGGTGCGAACAGGTAAAATTTACGCGCTATTTGTTGGCAGCCGATCCGTTGGTCGCCAAAGTCCGTTCCTGCTGCTATTTTCGACGCTAATTATCGCTCGGCTTGCCAAGCTTCTTTTTCCTCCGCTCGCCTGATGAATCGCGTATTCCTAATTAACGCGACAACACGCGATCAGCACTGCTAAACTGACGTGTTCGAATAAAACCGAGCTGGCTGACCGGCTTGAAACGAGCTAAATCGAGCTGGAATCTTGAAATCCGATGTGGTTTCGCGCGATAATTAGATTTAATTTGAAGATAAATATTGAAAGAAAATGCGCGGAAAGCGACGTACGAAAGCTCTATTTTGAATTGCGCTGAGACATGAATGCGTTAGGAGAAATTTTCCGTCAGGTCTCCGTTGGACAAGCCATGTTCCAATTTGGAGAAAACTCAAGAATAAAATAACTTTACTAGAATAGTATCCCAACTGAGCAACATACAATTTAACAAAATACAAAAGAAATACATTTATTGTATTAACGTTTTACTTTAACGTTGTGCTATATTTTTTAAATAAAGAATTGTTCTCTATTCACAGAATAAAGAGTTGGAAAAATCACACAGCTTATGAATTTCAGATGACAGGCCGTACGTTAATTGCGCACACTTCAAAGTTATAATCATTTTCAACTAAATCTTCTTCCAACTGAAAAAATAGCAATATGTATGTAAGGTTATCATCATTAACATAACGCTTACTAGGATTCTCTACTGTTCGAGAAACATTTCTGGACACGCAAGAGAAATGTCGCATGCGTCTTGTTAATAATTAATGGCTAAAATGTTAACGATGGCATAATTGCTCGTTCCTGCTGCATGCTACCGTCAAATAGAAAAGCGCGGTTCTCCGACTCGCTCGTAACGGAACGTAGCGTACACCAGTAACAAGCTCTAAATAAGCTCGTTAAGTCGTAAACTGAGTTAACCCTAAGATGAACCCGCAAATTAACCTTTCGCAACTGGAAAAGACTTTTATTGCTGCGCTAACAACCGCGCGCGATAATTCGATCCGGTAAATCAAATTCGTCGCGGTGCCATTTTTGGGATGAAACGGGAGTGGAGAATTAGAATCGCGGTGCTAAGGAGAATAACGCGCGAGATTTCAATTTTGGACGAGAACAAACAGGAAATGCGAGAAATTTTAGGACGTCCTGAGAATGAACCGCTCTCCATTCACGTAATACGATATATTAAATAATCGCCATACCATTTATATACGTTTCAATGGCTACAAAAATAGCTGCTTTCTCTTTGCTAATTAAGTTTTATCACATTCAATCTAACACAGTAACTTAGTATCACATCGCTTAGTTCGCACGTTTTACTTACAAAAAAAAAGTATTCTTTTATCAATGGAACTTTCAATAGCGCGTGTAATAGGAATAGAAATTTTCTTGACATTCAATAATATTGTTATTGCATCAAGAAGATTTACTATTCTGTTGACATAATAGCATTTTTCTTTCCATGCACGTATTTATCACGTGGAAAGGATCAGCACAACTATCCGCATCTCGTTCTTACTAGCAGCATTGAGAGAGAGAGAGAGAGAGAGAGAGAAGTCCTAGTAAAATAATTGTTATTTTCGAAAGAATAGCAGTACACGCATGTTAAGTTATTGTCTCTGTAGTAACTGACTTACGAAAAAAATGCTTCTCCTATACAGACTATAATTCTTTCGCTCATATGATTAGAGAAATATTTTCTCAGTAAAAGTTTTGGAGCTCCAAATGTTACTGCAACAAAAAGCTGCAGCTGCAATTTCCTCGGATGCGTCCTTTTTACGGCCTCGACTGTACGGTAGAATTAGGGCTTGTCTTCGCGATGGAATGCATTACGCGACACCATGAAGATACAATTAAATTGTTTTACGACGATGTTGCAGAGTGCGTTCCATCGTTTACGACCATTGCTGCCGGCAGCGAAACAAGTCGCGTTCGCGTTTATCACTTCAACGTCTGACATTTCCATCAGTTTTGCGTTTCTATTTGCTGCTCTTTCTGTCCGTAATTATTTATTTCCATTGTATTTCCATTGTCACGATGCTTCTACATTCCTCCGAAATGTCAATGTATAAATGCTACGTCTCGAAATAAATCCAAGAGGAAGAAATTTGACAACCTCCAAGAAGCTGCTAGCTTTGTTTTTAACATGATAATTCATTCAGCAAACTTGAAGCGTGCAGCGAATAGAGTAGTGGCTTTTGTACAAACAATGCTGACCGAAATTTCGCAAAAATTATAATCATTTTCGGCAACGTAACTGTATCTTCTTTTGGTTTTATCATAAAAATAATATAGGATTATTTTTAATATAATAACGTTTATTAGAAAAATTGTTCTCTTGATTATAATTTTTTTATTAATGCGGTTATACCAAAAATCTTTTTCTCAGTGTAGAACAAGAAGTGTTCAGCGGTATAGAAAATTGCTTACTGTTAACGATACAACCGTTAATGATAACCAAAGCAGAGACGCCACAGCGCGAGATTTAAAAAGAGGCACGCATACAGATAGTACTGAGCGAAACAGTTGCTTTTCTTGCCTATATATTGCCGATTTGAATATTCTCGCTTTGTTTTGTTCGTCGGTGTTATATACGGAGCATAAAGCCGTAAGAAAAGAAATATAGGTAGAAATGCTGAGGATACACAATTTGATTTTCCGTAACAGGCATACGGAACGATATCTGCAAAGTTACGATTACCTGTTCTTATCTAATCGTTCAATCGGCTATAATAACTTTATTGTCCTGATGACAAGTAATCTACACGATAGTTGACATCAATCAGATAATTGCTATCGATAAGCGACGCAATTGGTTGGAAATGATAATAACAAAAGTCATTCCCACCTGGCGTAAACTTTGACGACGGCGATGATATCGAAATCATAAGAAAAATCCATGTTCGCGAACAATAAAACAGCACTCTGAGAACGCGTTCATTTTGAAAATCATTGCACTAAAAGGGATATATTATCGGAAAGATGGTCGCATAAGAGGACTTACGGTGATCCAGTGTAGAACCGGTAATGAATCCTTTGCTGCTCGGGCATTCCAGGTTGGTGTTAGTAGCGGCAGCGGCGTTGTTGATGCCCTGCAGGTGGTAATGCGCGAAGGACGGACCTCTGGGCGCCATGATGGCCGCGATACTAAAGTCCGTCGCTTTACCCCTCTCCCCCTTCGTAGGCATGCCTCTTCGCGACAACACTTATTTGTTGAATCTCTCCTCTCCTTGGATCGTTTCCTCCCCCTTTCTCCCCCCCTCCGAGGAAAAAGTATAACTCCACTTCCTCTATCGGGAAAATCCGTAGAACCACCACCTTCACTTGCGACAAGGCATATTAGATTTTCGTCGAACTTTCCTTCGCTTCTCTCAGTTCCTTTCCGTCTCTCTAATTACCAAGCGTACCTTGGAATCAACATGCTGATCCGCAGCAACGGAAAAATGCTGCCACGTTCTCCCCTCGAAGCGGCGATTGAACCACTTCATCTGATTAGTTCGAGTAATCGCTGTCTCCCTGAATGATTACGAACGAAGGTCGATCGGAACGCGCGGAGCATAACGCGTCTGCGCTGCTCGACTTCCCGGACTCCACTGACTCGTCGTACCACCTCCCACGCGCAGCGGTTGCCCCACCACAGCGGCACGGCAACGGATACCGTGGCGCAGTCAGCGATAAGCGATTGCTGGTGCGCGCGCAGTATCGACCAGCGATTGTAGGCGGTGCTCGGTGGGATTGTTTAACCGATCGCGGCTTCTCTCAAGTCCGCCGCGGGTCACGTGACGCGAAGCGACGATCGACGGGACGTACCAGCAACCATGCGACGAAGGCGGCGCGTGCCGAAGCCGCTTCCTCGCTCGCCACACCCCACTTGAAGAAGCACAACCAACGCTGTATCTCTCCCCACTCGACCCGTTGTGTGCGGATATCGCGACACGGTGGCCGCGCAACGACGAAAGAGAGATCGATCGACCTCTCGCGCCGGATGGCCGACGTATGTATGTACGCAGTGGCGTAGGACAGCGATTCATAGTCTGTTGATTAACCTCACTCGTCTAATCGGACGATATTGTACGGTAGCTTCAGAGACAAGGCGAAGATCGGTCCACTTTCTGACGAAGCTGCGTGTTCATTTTTCCCGGAGAACATTTATTTCAACCGCTTCGATACATATGTAGCTAAAAGCTTCCATCCCGGGGGAAGATTCCTTTATATTATTTCTGCGTTGCAATGTAAAGCGGAAAAGACATCTTTAGTTATCCCTTACGCGTTTCTTTTCTAATACAATCGATGAAATTTGTATCTTTTAGGGAGGTAAGGTCGAAAGGTAGTTGTTCGAGCACTTTTTTCAGAAATCTTAGTAAATTGTCGCGATTGGTTGGCGAAAGTAGAAAAATATATTCCAACAGTTCGATACATCAGGAACGCAAGCATTTCGCCGCGAGGGTCTTCCTAAACGCTTTCTCTGTATCGAATTTTTACTCAGAACACGTATCGCGGATATTCGCCGAGGGCGGTAAAACGCGAGCGAATTCCACGGACATTACAGCAAGATGGGATGGACGGTGTAGTAAAACCGTCGCAAAGGCGTCGAAGACGACCGTTAGGGGCAGCGTCCTCCGCGCGTCTCGATCGATCAAACGCCACAAAAGTGGGTCTCGACGAGACAATCTCGAGGGTCCATGACGGCGGATGTCGCGGCCACTGAGTGCACCGCCGAATAGTGGATGGCTGGAGAGAGACGGCGGGGGAATAGATTTACGGCGTGTGTTTAGGCACTTAGCCGCTTTACCCTAGCCCCCCTTTATTATACTAATTTCTTGGGCATGTCAAAATACCTATCGTGTACCCGGCCTTCCGAATTCCATTCGACACGCTGGGTGCCCCGAGCGGATAAAAGGCCCCCCCAAAGCATAAAATATGAAGCTCTCGTCGTCTCTCTTTCAGTCACGGGTCGCCTTCAGGTAGCTGGCTTGCGCGAGTCGTCAAATCGTGAACCGCAGAAACAAGACCGTTTCGTAGAACCCCCCTTCTTCTCGCCCCGGGGTATTATTCCCCAGTGTTTTTCAAGTCGCCTTTCGTCAACCAACCACGACCGTATCCACTTAACTGCGTATAGTCGAAAGGCCCGTTGTTAAACGGATATTACGACGACATTGTGGATCTCGTGACGGGTCGGTGTAAAAGTATTTTCGTCATTCAAATGCCACGATTTTATCCTCCGTACGAATCTCTATCATTATCGATGCTACGCACGGCGATATCGTTCATTCGCTCCTAATAATGGTTATTCGAGTCTCTTAGCGCGTACAGACAACACGTTGGCGTTTTTCCGCTCGGCTCGGTAACTTATCAATTCCGATCGCGGAGGTAACAGGCTGGGATTCGTATCGGCTGGAGATTCCAATCTCGATCAAATTAGTGAAATTTCCTTCTCGCTGACAACAAATTCCCCCCGGTGTGCTCGCTTCTACGCCGGTTGTTGCTCGCGGCGACCGGCTGGGACGGCGGCAACAGCAGCTCGAATGCAAATTGCATCTCGACGGTCCGCGGGTGGGAAAAATAAACGAGAAATAAAACGATTGAGTGAGCGAGCGAGCTAGCGGTAAGATAGAAAAAGATGGAGGATATCCAGCTCGGAGGAGGGGGATATGTTGGGAGGGAGAAAAAGAGAGAGAGAGGGGACGAAGGTGGATGCGACAGGGAAGGAGGTACGCGAGAGTCATTCATCATGCGAAGAGAAGAGAGGCCTGCGCGAGTACACCACCTCGACGTCCGCGGGTTGATGGCAGCGGTGTCGGTTGGAGGTGGAAGGCCACCCACACGGAACGATCGGGTTCGGTGGCGATTCTGAGACCGAATACGCTGATCCTATCGTATGTGGCGCCGTAGTCAGGTGATGAGCGTGTTATGCGCTCCGCCAACGTTAACTTCCGTGCTATCTGGAAGGTGCCGTAGTAATTTCGAATGACGAGTTGGTCTGAGTGCGAAATATTACGGAGAAAACAATTCCGACTGAATTTTTCGCAACCGGACGAACATTCTACGAGCAGAAAGATACGAGATTCCTACTCGTAATCAATTGCTCTCAGTTATCTCGATAGAATTGCAGCTGATTGTTCGCGCGAGTCTTTTCAGTCACGGTGACGGAGATATAACGGATTGTCTCTCTCACCGACTCCATTTTAGGAAATAACGGAGCGGAAAATGCATCATGAGAGAATGTCGACAACACTGAAAATTTGTCGCTAAAATTATAAGTAATTTCTGATGCCAACTGTATCTTCTTATTATTCTTCTAACGAAAAAGTAGCAATATGCATATAATAAGGTTGTTGTTATCAACATTTATAGTAACACTTGCTACAAAAATGATTCTGTCGACTAAAATTCTGACACACATTGCGATTATAATGACAAATATCATTTTTTTCTCTTCAATGTAGTGTGTGTATTGGAAAATTTTCTTTCCTTTAACACAGGTTTATGAACATATATATATATATATATATATATATATATAATGTTGGTATCGAATGACCTGCGTTTTATAATGAGAGCATTCTGACGATCGAGGGACGTTATTTTATCCGGTCGCTCTTGAATCAGTCCGCATTAGAATCTCCTGTCCAAAAAATCTGCTGTTCGTCGAACAGAGTTGCAAACATCGAGCTCTCATGGCACGAGCTTCTCGGCTGCTCGAGTGGCTTCTGGAGAGGGTAAACACACGGTTACTCTTCTTGGCCACCCCCGCTTGGCCTCGGGGGCATCCTAATAATAACGACGAAATTGCCGTTCGTGGCGGCGATAACGAGGAGACGATGTCGGAGAAAGACACCGAATGTTCCGTCGGAAGGGTCAAAAAGAAAAGAAGAGAGAGAGAGAGAGAAAGGGTGCGAGCGGAAGCGTGGGTAGGGAAGAGAGCGTGTAGAAGGAACAACGTCGGCGACTCGTAGAAAGACACGGTCTCCCGATGACTCAAAGACCGCCAACTTCTTGAGAGTTCTACTCTGTTCAAGAGCGTTGCGGCGCCAGTCCTTCGTAAAACATTGCGCCGAGTAAAACGGGAACTCGTGTACAAATTTCTCGTTTCCCATGAGAAAGCCGTGGCTCCGGGGAAAGATTCGAGGCCATTATGTCGGAACTATTCAAGAATGTAATCATGATGATAATAAGAATGTACTTCTCGAAGAAATAAAAAAAAAGAGGAATTAAAAGAGAGATATAAAATGCCGATTGAACGATTATTGCATTATCGAAGATGTACTTCCGAGATTAGTAAGCGGATTCTCGTGCCGGGCTATTATTATTTACTTTCCTCAAAGAACTCAATTCAAAATTACTTTATGGTAGTTAAATACTGATAGAGAAAGGTAATGTTTAATATAACACGTGCTAAATATTTACATTGATTGAAAAGATTTGTAATAAACGAATTTTACATACAATTGAAAGAAAGAATTATAGTTGGAAAAATTATTTTTCTGGTAAGTGTTGCTACAGAAAGCGGTGATAATAACCTAATATGAAAGATTTGACATTATAGCGAGAAAATACCAATCAAAGTTACATAATGTTTAAAAAATAAAGAAATAATGATTTTTCTGATGTATAATACTTTTTGCTGGGACTGTCTCTCTGTGTTATGTTGGTGAATATATTATATGTATCCTCTGACAGAGACATGTACGAATGTACTAGAGAAATGATAGTGAGAAACAGTCATTGTAACATTTTTCATAATATTTTTACAAGTCACTTATTGTCTTCTCGTTTTTTATTATAAGAGTGGTTTCGTTCGTTAAAATCAAACGTTAAAATCACGTTAAAAGCATGATGAAACCGGAATTTATTTTCGCATAAATAATACTAACTTTGGCTTCGATTACTTCAGTTTCGGCATTGTCAATTTTTTCTCATTTTACATGTGTGCGAATAATATTTCGATTAATATATACTATTAAAATTTGGAAAAAAATCCATAAGAAAATAAATTTATAAACTACTTTAAATATCGTGCCCGTTAAGAGGAATTTGTTAGTACTATATTTGCAACTCGCTGCACAGAATTAAAAATCTTTTGCGCAATTACACGTTAATATAGGCGAGGACGAATAAAAGTTAACAAATTATAAAACTTTCTTTCGAATAAGCCGAATCTTCACCTATAACATTATGTGTATTGTAATTGTGTAAAAGGATTTTTCGTTCTATGCAGCCGGTAACGAGGATAGTGCGATAAAACAGGACAACTTCAGGATCCTCTTAAGTCGTAGATGACATTTTCCGGTAGAATTTATCGCCGTTGCTTTTTCACCAGCGACTCTCGTTTCTTTCTCTTCGTTCTTGTACGCAGAATATACACTGCGGGGAAATGTTCTCGAGTAAAGGAGCCGATAACCACAGGCATAAAATATATCCTCCCCGACCGCTCTTTCCTCGCACTGCGTGAGCGGAAATACGGCGGATCGTTCAGAAGAAGAATGAACGAAGAGAGCGCGAAGAAAAGGAGAAAGTAAACGTATAGAATAAAGAAGAAGAGGAAGAAGAGAAGGAGCAGAAAGACAGAGCAAAAGAGGCG